ATATTTGTATTAAACGTAAAAGAAAAATTTGAAGTATGTTGCTCCTATGGGTACAAAATAAAGTACATTGATATATAGTACGTAGTTACTATAGGTAAAAAAAGTACATTGCTCGTGAGCATAAAGTACGTTGATATTTCTTGCAATTTGTGATCTCTAGTAATTTACAACGTAATACTATAGGCATGGTTCTAAAAAGCAGGACATGGCGTGCAATGGCGCGAGGCGTGGTGTAGCCGTTACGAAAACATCCAAGGTGGGTTTGTTAAGCATTGTGCCCAAATAACGTGTCAAGGCGCACCTTATTGCGTTATGGCTCGAGTTCTTTTCAATACGCGAGTTTTTTTTTTTTTTTTTTTGGTTTTCTTTGATCGGACCTAAAACAATTGAGTTTTTGTTAACTTTTTTATATTAAATATTAATATAAAATTCAAAAATTATATGACTTGTCTATTTTAATGTATATAAAATAGTCATGCATTGAAAAACGTCATGGCTTGCCAAGGCTTGTCATGGCTTAACTTTGACATTGCCGCCAAGTCACGTCTGACGCTATGTAGAACCTTGACTCGAGTCATGTTTAATGTTCATGTCATCTCCGTAGCGTTTAAGGTCCTTGGTTTGCTGATGTATAATAATCAAAAGTACATTGCTATTTGAGTTTTGTCCCTGCATCCCGCACACATGAGTAACTGCGTATTACGAAGGAAAAATAAGTATTTTTTTAATTGTTTATGTCATCTTAGTTTATGCTTACTGATGTTAATTTGTTCCTGACTTGCTGCAAATAGTGAACATGGAAAAATAAGTATTTATTTTGTAGGCCATCCTAGCTAACTTGCAATATATTTTTTATTTATTCAATTGTTCCAACTCGAAACTAATTAAACCCTTTTATTTGGTTTGGTTATTATTAGTTTTAAACTTTAAAAAGCCGAAAACCGATTAAACCAACCGAATAACACTGACAAAATCACTAAAATCAATTTTGCATATATAACTTTGGCTTATAAAAATCTTGGAAACCTATTTTAATTTTTAGAAGACATGAAAAGTTGGATGAACACCATCTTCTCCGCATCTCGCGGTAAAAGACAAAACCATTGCCAAACAAAACCTTAGGTAGTGTTTGGTTGATGGGTGTATTAAGAGAACAATAGATATCGTTCTAGTGGGAATGTTTGATTGACGGATACAAGTTTTGAAGATAGGAACTGAACCGAAGAATTTATGAACCTTTACTATATTCCTCTTTTCACTTTCCTTACATTTCGTTGTTAACAACTTATCGTTTTTTCGTGGTTGTTAAGATCCCGATCTTGATTTTAGGATCTTACGGTTTTAAGATTCTACAAGCCAAAAAAAGATCAAAAAAGATATCGATCTCACTAGAATCTATTTGAGGCAAGATCTATAGTGGGATCTTAGGATCCCGACTAGAATCTTAAGATCTTAATACGATCCGAATCCACATCTATATTTTTATTATATAATCGAGTCTAAAAAATTCTTCATTTCAACTTGAAATCAAACATTGCAAGTTGTAAAATCATCATGGACCATCATCACTTCATCGTGAATTAAACAAGTTACACCCATGATATTTCATTTATAATTAATGATTTTGTTTCTTTTTGTAATTAAGATATAATCTTCCTAATTTTTTACAATTTGTAGCAACAACAAATATGATTCATGTTTAAAAAGTTAAAGTTGACTCCATATTAACGTCTTAACTGACATTAAGTTATAATGTATATTTTACATCCAAGAACTTACAAGCAAGCTAAGTAGTTATCTCGGTAAAAAATATAATACCGGTCATCGGCCGTTATCTGAAATCTCGGTTCTCGCTGCGGTATAGCGGTGGTATAGCGTTTTTTATATTATGTAGAATATATATATATAAGCTTAAGTTATTCTATTCAAAGTAATTATTGTGTTATTGTATGCATAAATGTGAGCCAATCATTTTTGGTAAATTAAGAAAGTGATTATTGTGTTATTGTATGCATAAATAGGTAACATTCACTTTCTTAAATTACCAAAAGTTACTAATTAGGAAACACAAGTTTAATTAATAAAAAGTTTCGAATTTTCAGATATATTTGATTTTCTTAATTTTGAATTGTCATTTTTTTAATTAATTAGATTATAATTATAATATAATTCTGTTAGAATGATATTCTATGAGAATGTCAGATTATCTATTCTTGGAGAATAACAAATTCTTGAACCATCAATTAAAGAATAAAAACAAACATTACATTAATTCTTATAGAATACGGGTAACAATTGCTAAGAATTAAATTTATTGTTTAAGAATAAAACTAAAAAAAAATTCAAATCGGGAAAGAAAACATCAAAATCTAACAACGAGTAATACATTCTAAAAGAATAATGTGGTCCGTTTCAATTTTGTGGTCCGTTCTTCAAGCATCAACTTCTGTGATTCCAACAAAATTGGAATTCGTGATTCCATTCCAACAGAATTGGAATTCGTATCTTACCTAACCAATTGCAAATAAAATCATATTCCCCAGCATAAACAAGCATCTGAATACCATCTTCCAAAAGCATTGGAATCCCAACCTTGAAGTTGGAACACAAGAATACCCCGTTTGACTTAGGAAAAGTCAAAATTGAACCACTTCACATCTATCATGAATTCCGATTGACATCCATTAAATCCGATGTATGTTCTAAATTCAATTCCGATCGTGATTGATCCGGATTTTGAAGATATGATATCGACTTCCAATGAAGCTTGCAATACACAAACCAATTTTCTATCATCTGATGCTCGAACAGTGAACGATAATACCGATTTTTGCTTCTAAATGATTTTAGTTGCAACATTCAATCCCAAGTTAGTAATATTCGAAATCGCTGAAGGCTGATACGATCGATTTCTATTTTAGGGTTAATGTGATTTCAAAATCGAGTCAAGAACTGTGATTCTAACGATTAGACATCGTTCCAAGTGTGCGACTGATCTCCGAACGAAAGTGGCTTGTGCGAATTTGATTCCAAGTGCAAATCATAATCAACAAACGAAATCAGAATATAAAGCTTGAACACGAACGAAAGTCTTACAGAGCGAAACCGATTTCCCCTGACTTTCGCTTCTTGACTTGCAAATTCTGGTGAGTTCGGTGGCGATGGTGGCTGATGGTGTTGGTCGGCGAACGGGCAAGCTCCAGCCTCTTATCTTCTTCAATCATCGGCATCGGTTAGGTTGAAAAAGTAGGGATGGATCGGTGATAAAGAAGCAGTAACAGTTTCAAGGGATTTAAAGGAAAGCAATCCAATATTTTAGGGATTAATTAAATTTTTATTTAATTAACAAAATTAATTAATAGGTAAGATTATATATCCTTATTTAAGTTTTTGAAATGATTGACTCACATTTATGCATACAATAACACAATACTTACTTTAAACACCTGAACCTCTCTCTCTCTCTCTCTCTCTCTCTCTCTCTCTCTCTCTCTCTCTCTCTCTCTCTCTCTCTCTCTCTCTCTCTCTCTCTCTCTCTCTCTCTATCTATATATATATATATATATATATATATATATATATATATATATATATATATATATATATATATATATTAGAGTATTAATCAGTAAATCATACTTCAAAATTCAACCCAATATAATTAATTGGTTAATCAATGAATCATACTTCATATATCATATTTAGTTAATTATACTTCACAGACCGGTTAGTTAATCATACTTTAACACAATCAACAATAAAACATAAGCAATACTTATCATTTTATCATACTTCAACATAATCACAGTTAGCAAATAAAATGATTAAGTAATTTGATAGTTAATCATAATGAAATACTTCAAGTCTTGAAGACAATTAGCAAGACAACACATATATGGTTTCAATGGAAGTCATGACAATCACAAAATCACAATTTTATTCAATGGAATGGCACAAAAGTTTTGGTTTGGGCTAAGAAAAAACAATTTTATTCAATGGAATGGCACAAAAATCGTTTTTTATGTAAAATAGCCCCAAAAATGGAATTTATTCAAATAGCGGTTATAACACCGCTATAACGGCGACCATAATCACGGCACCAATAGCGCCTATCACTATTTTGAAGTAGCGTTTCTGCCTATCGCTATTTTGAAATAGCGTTTCTTTACTTCTGCTAACGCTATAGCGGCGCCGCGATTGACTACATAGCAAGCAAGTTTGAATACAAATTCATTTCGATAGGATCTTCCGATCCTGATCCGATCTTACGGTTACGGTCTCGCAAAACATAAAAGTATTTTGGATAAGATCCCGATGTTAACAACCTATGGTTTTTTTTGACGTTTTTTGTTCTCGTTACATTCTACTATCAAACTCATTACAAGAAACAAACTTTTGTGCCATATGTCATGCAAAAATATTAGAAAAAACAACTTTTTTTTCACCAAAAACCAAAAAATGTCGATGCAAAACTTAAGTCTCAACAACAGAAAAATAGAAGGCGATTGCGATACAATTATTAGTAAAGTTTCTCTACAGACCCGTTCTAATTTTGATTATTCAAAGTTGCAAGGGACAGATGCAGCAGAATGAAATTTGAAGCAAATCCCATTTTACACCAAAACAATTATAAAAAATTGGTTATTTAAAATGGCCTTCCCTCCTATCTAGGAAAAAACTTGCCCATGCCTAACCATTGCATTGTACAATAACCACAATTCCCATTCTATTTGTCTGGCATGTTTGTTTTCTAGGGCTATTTTTTATGATGAGGACGAAAATGACATCTAGGTCTTTTACACAAATGAGAGGGATAGAGCCGAGCCCTAAGAAAACTTGCAAATTTTATCTCATTCGCATCGGTCTGAGTTCAACGCATGTCGAACTCAGTACATGTTATGTTATGTAGTGTCCTGTAAACGGGTCCTAAATGGCATGACATATAGTTTTGATGCAATCCTAGAGAACATCTGTGTGGCAAAAAAAAAATTGAGCATGATGTATGTTATTGAGATTCAGAATTCGTGATATATATTATGCTAAAGTTGAAAGGAATAGCATTTTAACATAGTATTGAATGGTACAAAATAGAGAGACTCTTTATGTTGTCGCCTCTTCCAAAATAGAGTATCTTGAGATGAGAGTTGAGAGTTGAGAGAAATATTACAACGTTAACTAAGCCTTATCTTCATCCGACTGTGAGCATGGTGGTCCGGGAACAGAATCAACAAAGAACTCATCCACTGAAAATAACATTATCAACACATTGAGGATACAGATGAAAAATTCCTTTCACTAATATTCAATAATACCTGAAATACCCCTTAATATTTTAATCCACTTGTCAAATTTAAAAACTTAGCTAAAAGTTAAAACTGGTCAAACAGGTTCAAAGGTGCCCAAAATTAATAATTTAGTACTTGATTATATGTCAAAGACTAGACAAACTCAAACATTGCATTTTAGGGTTAGGGGATAGTGGAACTTGTAAACAGTGTTCTTACCAATGTCCTCTTGCTCAGGAGAATCAAGCAATATATCTGAATCAGAAGGCAGAAAGGGTGAACCAGGATAGTTTCCAAGAGCCCCTAGATCTGAAAAAACAAAACAGAATCATACTTGCTAGTTGAATTATCAATCATTCAAACAAGGGAGATGAATGAATGGCTAATATAAAGATGGTACTCTTAGCTGTTACAAAAATGTTAGTACGTTTCTATTATGATTTATGAGCAAGGTGTAAAGAAAATGTAAGTATGTTGCTATATGGGTTAGAATTGGTAATGGCCTAATATGAATAAAAAGAAGCGTAAGGACGTTGCCTTTATGTGAGTAAAAAATAATAAAGTACATTGCCTATATTAGTAAAAAGAGTCCATTCTTAAAAAAAAACAGTAGTAGTATATATAAACAATCATTTGCAAACAATGGGCACATAAAATGACAGGTAAAATTTGGATCCCATTTACCTCCTAGGTTCGACAAGTCTGCTGTTAGATCTGAAAGGCTGAAATTCCATGGAATCTGACCAAAAGATCTAGAATTTCCATTATCTTGTGGTAGATGCAATCCAACAGAACTTGCCACGTCAGATGTAAACGCTGTGTCAAGTGCTGACGTGTCAACTCCCATTCCTGATAGTTCGGATGCAGTGAAGGGAAAATGACCACTGGATGCCACTGACGTAGGACTTATAGGCATATCTGACATAGGTGAAATCGCCCCATTAGCCGGAATTGGAGTTACACCACCACCACCTCCACCTGCATTGCCATCCATTACCATACTCCTGCAACAACACATGGAAAAAACTTTTTTTTTTATCTTTTTTTATTAATTCGTCAAAATCAAAATATAATAAAACAAAACTCACTCATTTCCAGAGTTCATTCGTATGGGATGAAAGTTACTGGGAGCAGGGACTCCATTGACCACATGACAGCTAGACATACCCATGGAATCCATATGAGGCTGACCTGGAGTCCCCATTGGAGGTTGCTGTAGAACTGGGTATCCCATGGGTAAGTTGTTAACTGCACTGAAAAGAGTAATATTGAATAATAATTCTACACTTTGTAAAAAATACAACTTCTTTCTTTGTAGCAAGAGATTACCATACCTGGCATGGGATGTACCCCATTGTGTATGGGACCCACAGGTAGCTTTGGAGGCATTGGGTACTTCATAAGGTGATATTGATGCTCGAGTAAATGATTGAAAAGGATGATCTGCTTCTTCAATTTTAACCTTATGTAGTAGGCTCTGAAAAAATCTGCATTCTCTTCTTCTAACTTCTGCCAAACTATCCACCAAAAATGGAAAGTTAACGTGACAATGTAAAAATAATAATAATAATAATAACATAGCGGTTATTACCAAGAGTAGTAAAACCAGGATCTATCCGTGCACGATTTAATAGAGTTTTTACCACCTCATCCCTATTCATATACAATTGCAAACAGCGTTCTATCAAGTTTTGAACCTGCAACATTCAAGATTTATATCAACATACACCAAATCTTGACTTGTCTGTAATACTACAAGAAAGAAACAAGAACAAATTCCCTTACAAGTTCAATATCCTCCCTGGAAACTTTTCTGTTGTCATTGCTGGAGATGGAAACCGAACCAGAGTCAGGGACAGGAGTTTCTGTTCCATTATTATTTTGGTCACTTTGAGACTCATGTTGAGTTTCCGGTGTGTCCAGGGATTCCTGCATATAGCTTCTTAATTTCCGTCACAATGTGTAAAACTAAAATTATGTCTCTTTTTTAACAATTATAATACATCAATATGATTGAAGCAATATTAATCAAGTTACTTCATACTCCCTTGTGACTGTAGTATAAAAAGAGATTTCAAGTTCATAACGTGATTGTTCTTCATCGCCGCTAGATGGTACCAGAAGACATCTCTCCAACGAAATTTTGTTGTTACCTAAGCTGACTTGTTCAAAAATAGCAACTCTTTGTTAAACGAAGATTTTGCGATTTCGTCAAATTTAACCTGAAAGATAATAGACAAAACTCTGTTATTTTGTAAAAATTGAAGATATAAGATGGCTACATATTTGACATCAACGTTGTTTTATTTATATGAGAATTATTATTCATCAACTTTAACTCCGTAATTTTCGTTAGATACTTTAAAAGACCATATCAGTTTTGCAGTAGAAGCTCGGCTCATCTGGACCAGGACGTCAAAACGCCAATAAAATTAGAAAATATTAACAAACTAGGTTAGCAATTTCCACTAAATAACTGAACATACCAAACTTTGACTTCGATTACTTGTAAGAAAAACATAATGGATCTATGAAATCTGGTATGTAAAACTGAAGTATAAACCTACTTAACAACGTATTATTGTTCAGATCTGCAACAGTCAATAGAGTTTCTTCCTTTTGGTAAAAAAAAAGAAATTGAAAGAGAAAATAAGAATAAGATGTGTATAGTTTATCGCCTAGCGCCACACTACGCCGGCGGCTGAAAAAGCAGGTATTCTCATCTCCGAACACATAAACTATACACATCTTATTCTTATTTTCTCCTTCAATTTCTTTTTTTTTTACCAAAAGGAAGAAACTCTATTGACTGTTGCAGAACAATAATACGTTGTTAAGTAGGTTTATACTTCAGTTTTACATACCAGAAGATCCATTATGTTTTTCTTACAAGTAATCGAAGTCAAAGTTTGGTATGTTCAGTTATTTAGTGGAAATTGCTAACCTAGTTTGTTAATATTTTCTAATTTTATTGGCGTTTTGACGTCCTGGTCCAGATGAGCCGAGCTTCTACTGCAAAACTGATATGGTCTTTTAAAGTATCTAACGAAAATTGCGGAGTTAAAGTTGATGAATAATAATTCTCATATAAATAAAACAACGTTGATGTCAAATATGTAGCCATCTTATATCTTCAATTTTACAAAATAACAAAGTTTTGTCTATTATCTTTCAGGTTAAATTTGACGAAATCACAAAATCTTGAGTTGCTATTTTTGAACAAGTCAGCTTAGGTAACAACAAAATTTCGTTGGAGAGATGTCTTCTGGTAGCATCTAACGGGGATGAAGAACAATCAGGTTATGACCTTTGCGTTATGAACTTGAAATCTCTTTTTATACTACATCGATCAACGTCGACTGTTATTTTCTAAGATCTAACATAACCTAGAACAAATTACAAAATATCACATTATCAATATATCTAACCACAAATCAGAAGCCTAAATCGATTATTAAAAACATATAACAACTAAAAATCGTAAGTCTAGATTACCGGATATGGAGTGGTGGATCTGAAATTAGGTCGTCGGCAGGAGGACGGCGACATACGGACTGAAGCAAGCGGCAGAGGGTGACGGCGAGACGCGAGAAGCACGATGGCCGACAATTACAGACTCCAGTGGGTCATTCGATTGCTAGAGAGAGGCACGATAGTCGAAGATTGCTAAGAGGGTGTGATGAAGACGAAGAAGCGAAGGGGCAAGACGGAAGCAGGAAGAACTGAAGTTGTGTGTGTAAGCCTGTGAAGATGAATCTCTCGTTCTCTCTCTGTCGGCGCCCAAAGGAAATGCAAGAAACAAACCTAAAAGTCAGATTATATGCCTATATATATTTATATATTAAATATATATTATTTATTATATATGCAAACCGGGCCCCCGCAGGAGTACGGGACGGAAATACCCGCTCCCGAAAATAAACGGGGTTTAATTTTGCCCCCGCTCTCGCTCCCGCTCCCGAATTTTTTAAAAAATTAGTCCCGTATGGTATCGGGTCCGACGGGAACGGGTCCCACGGAGGTTTTTGACATCCCTGGTTTTTGTACATACAAGAATGTGAACCCTAATTAAAATACAAATGTTACAGTAGAAGATAAAAAGGCAATTGTTTTTTTTAAGACAATCCATTAAGAGTTAAAGTTCGTGAAATCTTAATTGAAGTTTACTTCATTTTACAGAAAAATGTCTTTTAAAAAATAGATTTAATAACAAATAATATAATTTTAATAAAGTTGTAACTTAACAATAAAAAAAATATTGTTAGATAATTGGTTCTTCTATGTTCTATGTCATTATATAATAATATTGACCAATTGTCGACAATACAAGTCGACAACTACTGAATTTAGATATGGTGTATAAACATAATCCAAATTCAAAATAAGTATTTGCATAATGTTGTTTAATATTTAAAGTCGTTAATCCTAAAAAAATATAATAAACAAAAATTACATGAATTTAGATACGAAGTAATTTCATACTAAATATCAATCCAAAACCATGTGTCCGTCTCATCCCCAAAATAAAATGCATCAATGAAGTATGAATAACACCACTCACTCTCATCCTAAAAATGAAATGCATCAATGATGTCTGAATAACACCACTATCATGTAACTAACTGATCCAACTGACCATGGTTGTCAAAATCGCGATCCTGATCGTAGGATCGTACGATCCTACGATCGTACGGTCCTAGGTATGAAAAACGATACGGATTGTATTTGGGGTAGGATCGCAGGTAGGATCATAAGATCGTAGGATCGAGATCCGATCCGATCCTACCTTCCCTTTTTTTTTGCAAATGAATTTTTTTTGCCACTTTATGTCTTTTACCGTTTATCATTTTATATTGTGACTTATGACTAATATTTTGAAGTTTTTATAACTTTTGAACAAAAAATTGAATGTTTGAAATATTTTTCATGATTAAAATTATAAATTAAAATTATATTTTATTTTGTGGGATCTTAGGATCCCGATCTCGATCTTACGATCCTGATCTTGCAAACCCAAAAATGATCCTACGTGGGATCCCGATCTTGACAACCTTGCAACTGACTATGTTGGACCATTTTTTGTTGCTATCTCGGAAGCGCAAACCCCAAACAAACCCACCATCCTAACCATAAAAAAGTGTTATTATGCTTAACCCATAAAGAGTTGTAATGATTAAAGAAGCGCCACCACCACTTATATAGAAGAACATAGTTAAACACCTCAAGACATATAAATTCATTACCGATAAGGGGAATGTCGGGGTCCGAAAGGACGGTAGCAAACACCAAGATCCCAAAGACGAGGTCCTTACCATCAAAAGACCGCGCAAGAGGTACGAGCGTCGCGAGGTCGATGATGATATGAATGTACTATCTAGAAACCTCTTGAACATCAACTTCTCATCAGAGGACCCGAGGCCACGCGACTGGAACCCCAATGATCCGCTCCTAATCACTACATGTATAGGCCAAAAAAATCCACCGTGTTTACATAGATAATGGCAGTAGCACCGACGTCCTCTACGAACACTGCTTCTGACAACTGTCGAGTTCCTGGAAGGGGGACCTGAAACCACCAAAAGGCGGCCCTTTGGTCGGTTTCACAGGACACAACCTATGGCCATTGGGAATCATACACCTCCCCCTCATGCTGGTTAGCCATGACGGGAAGGAAAGCATCACACGATCGATTGAGTTCTCAGTAATCTGTTTCCTAGCGGAACAAAACATATTGCTCGGGGCGGTCGGCGCTTTTCCAACTGCAAGCCATACCGTCAACCATCCACAGTACTGTTAAGTTCAACACGTGTACCGGTTCAGCCACAATTGTCGCTGGTAGCCCATGCCCACATGTCTGCCACCAGATTATGGCAGCCCCAGAGCTAGTTCGAGCCCTAAAAAAGTCAAAGGAGGACTGTCGTACGGAAAAACACGTGATCCACCCGGATTACCCGGAGCAAGCAATACGAGTGGGTGTCGACCTATCGGCGGAAACCAAAACCAGGCTAATTACACTCTTAAAACAGTTCTCCAACATATTCTCCTGGCAACCCGTACACATGACGGGGGTAGACCGCAAGGTCATCGAACATAGCTTAAACATTTTGTTGGGAAGCGTCCCAATCAAACAAATAAAAGAGGGGGCAAGCGGGCGATGGGAAAGCAATCAACGAGGTAGTCTCAAAGCTGGTAGGCGCTAGCATTCTTCGGGAAGCAATTTTTTCCACCTGGATAGCTAACCCCGTGATGGTAAAGAAACATGATAGGTTGTGGCGAATGTGCATCGATTACTCCGACCTAAAGAATGCATGCCCAAAAGATCATTACCCCCTCCCGGAGATAGACCAAAAGGTTGAATCCTTAGAAGGCTTTCAGCTTAAGTGCTTCCTAGATGCTTACAAAGGCTATCATCAAGTCCAAATGTGCAGGGAAGATGAAGAAAAGACAACATTCCACACTGATCATGGCACATTCTGTTACTAAAAAACTCTGTTTGGGATCAAAAACGTTGGGGCAACATACCAGCGCCTGATGGACAAAGTCTTTGCCGACCAAATCGGTAGGAACATCGAGGTTTACGTTGCCGACATGGTTATAAAAAGCTGTCACGAAGCAGCGTTACTTGGAGACATTAAGGAAACCTTCCGGGCCCTGACACAAGCATAGATGAAACTCAATCCAGGAAAGTGTACCTTTGGAGTAGAAAAGGGCCAATTCCTAGGTTACTAGATAACCAAAGAAGGAATTGCACCAAACCAGGCCAAGATTCAGGAGTTCCTCATCTCTAACCCCCCCCCCCCAGCCTGAAAGGGGTTCAGGAGATCAACGGGAGATAGATCCCTACAACGTCTGAAGGAAGCCTTCCACTCTTCCACTCCCTAAAGGGTTGCATCGACAAAAACAAATTCAAACGGACAGCAGGGGCCGATAGAGCCCTACAACGTCTGAAGGAAGCCTTACAGCAACTCCCGGTCATGGCGAGCCCACAATCCTCTCACACTTCTGCCTCTCCTCCTTGAGGCCCTCAACCTGTGCCTCCCTGATCTGCTCCAACAATGGAGTAATCACTGTCATCCTCAGGCATATATCCCTGATCGGGGCCGCTGCCGCCTTGCGTGTCACACCCCCAAACCAGAACGGCGGAATCGTTCGAGGGCGGATGACTTCATGTAGTATCGAAACAGTTAAATACATAGTAAAGAAAGTAACACAACCATCATATATATAATTTAAAAGTTTACATTGTAGATAAGTACTTGTTTCAAAACAAATTACAATATGATGTCAAAATGAATTTAAACTAACGCCACAGCGTCCCTTCTTCAAAAGCTGTTTGTTTACCTGTATTACTGAATCCCTGAGAAATACAAGTAGTTTTGAAAGTGTAGATCAGCATTTAAGCTGGTGAGTTCATAAGTAGTTAATGACAATGTTTGTATAGAATTTAATAAAATGGTTTGTACATGTTTGAATGTTCCTAGAAAATCCCATATTTTCTTACTAGTATAAAAGTAGCCTTTAACCAAGGCCATACTGTTTTGAATGTTAACTTCTAGAAATTCGATATTTTTCCATAAGTGAGTGGTAGTTTAAACGTTCCAAAACTATAATGCTATAGTGCTTTTCATTCCTAAAATAGTAGATTTATGTATAAAATCGCCAAGGCATTTGAAAAGCCCGTAAATCAATGTGTTTTTAATACTCCATGTGAGTTTTATAACCATGCTATTGACCCTGACTGCCTGTAAACAATGTTCTTCAGGCATTGGAATGTTATGACATTTGTCACCCCCAGACCTGCCGGTCTAGCTGTAGCTAACAGCTTAGGTGCGGGATTGTCAATCCCGTACAGATCTATACACAAGTATCACGCTCCCCCTACAAGGGATTATGGTATATAATACAGGAGTTAAAATGCATACTCGAAAGTACGTGAAGTTTAGTGTCTCACAAAACTTAGTATCAAAATAGATTTACGTAAGAAAAGTCCACTTGTTCTTGTATATGAAAGTATTGATGGGTTTTAGGTACAACAAATAAACTAGAAACAATTCCTAAGTTCACATGCAACCTACTTTGGATCTATGTTTTAACTATTGAGCATACAACTTTGAATTGCAAAACAAGAACCCTAGAGGAGAGAGGCTAATTTCGAAATTAACAAACTAGGGTTTGGGGTTTACATACCTTTCAATTGTTATAGCAAACAATTGATAATCCCTTGATCTTGATCTTGATCTTCTTGGAAGCTTTAGCACCACAAGTGTAATGCCTCTAATGGAATCACACCCAAACTAGCAAGAAGGAAAGTAGAAGAGAGAGGGGAGAGGGAGTATGCAATTTCGGCCAAGGTATTCTTCCAAAGAATCAGTACACAAAATGTGAGCCAGGAGGCTCCTTATATAGCTGAGAGATCTAGGGTTTAAGGGAAACCCTAGTTATCCTTTGCTTAGGGCCTAAGCAAACCCAAGGGCCTTATCCAAGCCCCTATGGACGAAATTATTAGGGTTTCCCCTAAAGATTTCGTCCACCCTCTTCCAAGGGGGTTCTAGAGCCTTCCACTCAACTATTAGATAATTGCAAACTAGTCCCTGCACCTTATAATTAATTCTTTTAACCCCAAAATCAATTCTGATTAATTTCTGGCTAACAATTAATTAAACATAATGATTTCTAATTAATATATTAATCCATTAACATATTAATAAATCATTTATATATATATATATTAATTAATCTTATAAATTAATATCTCTCCTTTCATAATTTCCTTGTCCAGTTGCTAGGTTGAGGGCAACCCAAAAGGACTGTGCTGCT